TAGGAAATCTATTATTTAAATATTCTGTATAATTTCTTGAGTTTGCACTTCAAAAACAAAACTGAGAGGGTTCAAGAAAAGCCCTCCATAAATCATCTGATACCTGGAAACCCCATATTACAGTATGGCTCTAGAGACTTTTATGATTGCTCTGGAATGAGATGACCCTCATTTCTATAAATACCAATTTAAGGAGAAAATTTCTGATACTAGAGAGCTTTTTAGTATGACAGACTGGGGTATAAGAAAATTGATTTCAAGTTAAACTAGATGAATTCCAGTTTAAAACCACAACATCTCCTTTTAACAATTTAGGAAATTAACAATTGGGCCAGCTTATTTAAGACATTATTTTATTAATGGAGTCAACAACATTTGAAGCCTTTAACATGAATCTCAGGGGTTGTTTTGTTGGGGGGTTTTTTTTGGTTTTTTTGAACATAGTGAAAATCTGACTCGTGTTATTTGGGTCAGTCTAGGTGATAACAATATTGAAAATGGAGGAGATCATTTCTACCCCTAGAGTGCCACTGAGCTTTCACAGGACATCTTCTCAAATAATAATGTTAAAAGAGGGAGGACAGAGTCCCTGGTCCCTCGGCTTTGTATATATGCAGACTGGATTAGGAGATTCTAACGAAGAACAAGCAGGTTCCTTTTCCTCTCACTCCACCTAGCACTTATCTTTCTGCAGGGTTTTACCTGTCGAAAGCCCAGACATTATCACATCAGAAGAAAGACGTTGGCAGGAGGGACTCCTGAAAAGTCTCCTGCGCCCGAAGGGCTCCCCATGGCTCTCGTCGGTGCCCGGGCAGAGCGCTTACGAGAGGCAGCGCGTTAGACGAGGCCAGGTTGGACACTGGCTCTTGCAGAGCCCAAGGACCACTCAGGAGTCCTCAGATCTCAGAGTCTGCTCCAGACGGAGGAGGAGCCTGGCTGGATCTTCATGACCCAGTTATGGACTGCATACTTCTAAGAATAACTTCCACATCAAGTGAGGAGAATTTTCTTCTCCCGTCCCCATAAACATATCCTTTACTCTCATTACACTTTTATTAAGACGTCCCTCAGCACGAGTGCCAAACAAACCTTTAAGAGACTTGAATTTCTTCAGTGTGCACACAGCCAGGAGCATGTGTGCGTTTCCCTATCTCAGGGAACACAGAGCAGACACAAAGAGGAACCCTCTTGATAGGATGGATGACCGAAGAAGCACTGACCGGGATAAAAATGGTAGAATAGCGGAAAGGAGCATGAGACGAGAGCCCCAGCTTCTATAACTGTGGGCTGTTCACTGAGACAAAAAAAATGCAGAGAAGCCAAGGAGGTCAAACATCCTTTCCCCTCATCTGCTCATTTGATAATAACGATCAAGAAAGTTTGCATTCATAAAAGGTACAGATGTACTCCACGCCCTGAAAACACAATCCTACCAGCCTTCATTCAAAGCAGGAATTATAAAACAACTCTTCAAGGGAGAGGGGGAATAGGGCTTTTAACAAAATTTTTCATCAGACCCTTAGCTAGAGCAGCACTAGTGGGCGCAGCTATAATTACAGCAAACCTACATAATGCGTCTGAACTAGCTTAGCCCTTTCCCTGCAAGCAGAGAAGCTGCCACATCAGTAACTCCGTTGCTAGGGCAACTGCTTACTTTCCATATCAACGGCAAACTCGTTGCTATGGAGACACATATACAAGAAAAATTCCTCTCTATAGCCAAGGACCAGATGGTAGGGAAGTCAGGGAAGTCATGGGCTAACGGGCTATACTAAATGGGACACACACTAGAGGACATTTAGATCTGTACGTTCACAAAAGGATTAATCTGAATGACTGAATTCACAGGTCCGGCAGTATAAACAAGGTCAGGAAACTCCTCATCTATTCCCCATCATGTGATACTTCATACTCTGGCCAACTATTATTAAACTGCTGAGCTCAATGCAAAGAGGTTTGCACAATCAAGGGCTCAGCACTTTCTCTTCTTCAGCCCAGCTCCCTGTCTCGATCCAGGAGATCAGCCTCATCGCAAAGTTACATGAATAGTCACTCTGTCGACTTGCCAGGTAAGCCTGATGGTATTGCAGCTCAAGTGGAATAGCAGCAGTGCATAAACAAATCTGAGGAGAAAAATGTCTTTTCCCGGCATTCCACACCATACCTAAAAGCACCAGGACAGAGCGAGTCAAAAACTAAAGTGATGTAGCCTGTAAATATTTTTTTTTTCCCTGTTATAAGGCTCTTGCATCAGGAAATGCAAGCATTCATATGCAGGCAGGAAGAGCTGCACAGTATTAAATACATATTTAGCCCCATGAATATAAATTAGTGGAATCCAAGATTGAGAAAACTACTATGCAGAGGGAATTCAAAAAAGAACTAAGTGTTCAGCAGAACTTTTTTTAGAAAAACGATTACTGAAAGGCTACACAAACAAACACTGGAAAGCACAACTATGAGAGGAAAAGCTTCTAGCTTTTCAGAATGTGTCAACGCACATCAACCAACAAATGCCTGCAATTCCCAGCACTGATTAACTCCTTCCCCCCATACTGTACATGTTTCAGAGCCTATCTTGCTAGCATTTTATAACATGCCATTTGCTAAATGCTTTTTTTTTTCCACACAAAACCCGTAAAACAGGCAGACTCCAAACCTGCAAAGGGGAACAAGTGGCATGAAATGATTCCTTAGAGAGGAGAGTTCCCCCTTCTCCTGCCCCAAGCCCCATCCCAAAGCCAGAGAACCCTTTAGATGGACATCTTCCTTCTGAACAGCAGAGGTACTTGCTGCAAGGTACTCGAATCAACCCCAAATGTGCGTGTGCACACGCACGAAGGTATTTTCAAAGCCAGCAGTTGACGTTCACTGCTTTCCAAGTCCACAATTAGCCATCAAGCACCTGATTCAGCAACTCTGACCAAGTGCCAATTCTGCGCTCAGGACTCTGTCTGCCACGTCCCTTGGCCAGGACATGAGAAAAACCCAGCTAGGGATTTAAACGACCTGCCTTGGTGCATTTTACGTTTGAGATTCTCTTCTCATTCACTTTAACTCTGGCTACCTGCAGTTACTAGAATTTCCTCCATCTCCTGGAGATGCTTTCTCTTAACCTGGTATTTTCCAGGAATGAATAAAACCCCACCTTGTTATTCATACAGGCAAGGCCTCCCACCACACCTTGTTGTCTAGCTGTGTAACCATGGCTCTAATCAGGAATTGGAGACGTAGGTGACTAGTCATGCATTGTGCTCCGCCACTTCCCTGTGGAGAAGCAGCGCGTTGTGGTATTGTTCATACGAGCTCAGCAGACTGCTGGATATTTGACAGATAGACATGAAGACAAGTTCCTAATAGGAAGGAAGCTGTAATCTAAATAGTCAACTTGTAAACAGAGGAAGAGGGATAGAACAAAACATAAATGGCAATGTTAAACACAGGCCTTGCCAGTTACAATATTTTGTTGGGTTTTTTTAAAATGTATTGTGCGAAGATTTCTTATGGCCTAGGACAGGATCATGAAATTCTAGTGTGGCATTTGTTATCATAGTCTTACTTTGAAACAAGAATGTAAGACTCTGGTTTACACAAAACAAGATCCAGTTCAGGAACAGGTTTTTTAATCTCACACACAATCTCTCACAGCAACTAATTTATAAAAATACCAGCATACAGTGTGTGACCAGCAGTATGTGGACAGTAGATTCTAGTGAATAACATTTCGGGGGGAGGAAGGGAGGGAGATAAAAGTGTCAAAAAGGAAAGCTCCAGAGAAAAGAAAGTAATCTAAAATGAAAAGTTGATAGTTTAGGGTAATGTATGACTCTTCCTCTAGAGTTACTTGAGCTCCTGTTCCACAGCATTTAAAGTTAAATCGCACACAAAATAGGGAGAACAGCACCACCAACAGAAGTCTAGTTTCAGGGTAACCAGTTACAAGACAATCACGGCATTTACTTCACTGAAATACAAAAGTTGAGTGCATCTATTGTTTCTGCCAGGAGAAAGTGTCCACTTTCTGATCTTCAGCCAATTTTAGAGACAGATGGTCAGTGATGTGATTTTACCCGCTATTTATTTCACTAACCTGTGAGAAGATCTGTGAAATTAATCTGCAAGCTGATATTTTTATCAGTATACTCATACTTTGCCAAAGATTCATCCAGACCACTGCTTCTTGAGACGGTCCCCTTTGGAAACTGATACCTGCTCCCAGGCAGATTGATGCGGCAGAAGGCTACGCAAAGGACTGCCTCCACCGCTCGGCTCGCTTCCCCATTCCCTCGCACACAACCTCTTCCTGCAGACGCCGCTGAGGATTCAGCAATGAAACGAGGTGACAACAACAGAGATCCAAAAGCAAACCTGTGCTCCCCAGGCTTCCGCAGAAGCTACATGAGCCCAGGGGGAGAACAACTGACATTTCGGTGAATGGTAACTTTCACCTTTGATGCCAGGCCTATCTCCTCTCTTTGAAGAGTTTCTCTAAAACCTGTTTGAAATGGAACAAAGCTTCATCACCAAAATTCAGAACTACTTCTGTTTGTTTAAGAAAAGTTTTTTCAGATTACAACACAGACCAGGGAAAAAGCGATGGACTCTTACATAAGACATACCCTTTCACTATACATTTGTATAAGCCAAGAACAGCAAGCAGCCCATTTATAACATGATTACACTCATCTAGTATAGCTGGAAACCATTACCACAGCATGATAACTAAAAACAGTATTTAACCACTATGCATGAAGACACTAGCTGGGGGAGGGGGAGGAAAAAACCACACACACACCGAGTACTTTCTTACAGATGTCTAGACAATGAATTTAATAAAATCAGAGTGAGCCATGCTAAAGAAATGTTGGCTCTCTGAATTTAATGAACTACATTAAAAGGGACAGTGTTGCATATTCTGCATTTCACTGTTATGGACACATTCTGGCATTAGCAGGTGAATATTTTCAGAGTCAGATAGGTCTCCATAGTTCCAAACTTACCTGACTTCTGTCTTTGTCCACCTTCTTAAAACACTTATTCAAGGATAGATTATGTCTCACAGAATTTTTCCATCCAGTGGGTGCATTTGCAAAATACGGAAAGTGTTCCAAGATCCAGTTGTATATATCCTTTACGGGCAGTCTTTTGGTTGGTGAGTCCTCAATGGCCATAAATATGAGGCAGCTAAAGGAATAAGGAGGTTTGCAGTTGGGGTTCTGCTTGGCATCGTAGGGCATGTCAGAGTGGGCAGGAGACGGCGGCGTGTCATCACCGATGTCCTGAACGGGGCTAACACTCCTTAACACCGAGTTCCCAAAGCTTTTCAGCAAGTTCTTGCTCTCATGTAACCAGTTCAAATTAGTTAGTTCTTCATCTTCCATGGCCCCTTTATCTAATCTGATGGCAGGCAAAGAGAAATCTAGGTCCTCGTCATCGTGAAGTGCCTTTGATAAATCACTATCTTGGTAACGTTGGCTCAATCCGCTGGGAACGCTAATTCCTGAGCCTTCTGGCTTCTTACTGGGAGGCATGACTGGACCCATTTAGACAGCAACTCCTGGGAGAGTGAATGCAAAGGAAGGGGAGAAAAAAAAACAGAGCGAAAAGTTAGCTCATAAAAAGATACTGCATAACATTTTGACAGCTTTTCCCTAACTGGTCACTCAGCCTTTTCCCATCTGTATTAAAAATGACAGACTCATGTAAACACGCATCCACAACTGTTGAGTAAAATAATCTAAAGTCAGGACAAGCAAAGAAATTTCTGTCGATGTAATAAGACGATAACCCCGATACACCTCAGTTCCGCATGTACATGAAGCCCCACACAGGAAATCCTAAAGACATGTCTCTTTAATGATGAATATGTGTATCAAATCATTGAATACTCTGACTGTATCACTTTAATAAGCATGTGAACTAAAACAAATTTAAAAAAAATAGAGGGGCTTAAGGCCAGTTGCTTCAGATTAAATTCAGCTGTTTCACTTCTGAGGACAATACAACAGCACCATGATTAAAATCACCCTGGCTAAGGGCTGAGGCAGACAAGCATCCAATCTGACTACAGTTGCAACAAAACTCAGAAATGACAGCAGTACTTCAAAATCAGCAAGGCTGGGAGAAGAGAGGAGGGAAGGCAACGCACGGTAGTTTTGGGACCAGGGCCAAGACACAGGGAAACAAGCACCAGAGGAATAGAGCACTTTAAAAATGTACGTAAACAGAGAAGACTTTAACATAAGCTTATCTGTATTTCAAACAAGAGTCAGAAAGACTGCTGTGATGCCCAACAGTGGCATGGGTGAGGTGGGATGAGCTGCCAAGGGTACTGCACCAGCAGGCCTCGGGGGACACCTGAGCCTTACAGAAGCTAGGTGAAGTTGGGCACCTGCCCAACTCGAGAAGCAGAGAGGAGCCCAACAATTCTACTTCAGAAGCCGGAGACAGCCTCCCTTAGCTTCTCCATCCAGTAAAACTGCCAGGATTTAGGTCTGGAGATGTGAACAGCAGTGAAATAAAAATTGGAAGGAGTTAATGATGGATTAAAAATGACTAAACTTCCCGCACAAACACTGAACAAGAGCAAAATGATTCCTTGTAACTAAAGCGTATCCTCAGCAGTTCCCCAAAGTCAGGCAGTCACACAGTCGATACTGTAAACAAAGAGCAAAAAAACTACAGGTAACAACAGAATGAACCACCTATCTACAGGAAAAAAAGAGCAAGACAGTCATTCTCAGAAAGAGAAATGATGGACTTTATTTTAGCTGTTACAAAAGGGTAAAAGCGAAAAAGGAAAGTTCCTTGGGTCTTTCTATAAACACTTTACACCAAAGCACCAAAGAAACAGACAGAACTTTTATGCACAGAAGCCCATTAATGCACATCATCATCCAGCAAGCTCAGCAAACGTGTGGTTTTACACAAGCATCTCGAAGAGGAAAAAATACCGAGGCAGATATAAACACCGGGAGGCCTAACTTACGTAGGTCCCACTTCCTAGCCTTCAAAACAGCATCCAGCATAGCCAGAAGGTAAACACGAACATTGCCGGCATCCAGGGGCACCAGCATCGCCTACCTACACCATGCACTCAACTTTCACTCCAAATGGAAGTTACGTCCCATGAGCTTCTAAACAGGAAAATTATATGATGGCTGACAGTAAAGTAATTTAATTGCACTGTTGCTATGACAACATGCTGCTCTCTTTCTGTTTAATTTGCTTATTTGCCAGTATCCTCCCAAAGGGCCGTATCATACCATCCCCTTTTTTTTTTCTTTCTTTCTTTCCTTCTT